AAAACTAGGCTTATACTCGAGTATATACAGTACATTCTATTGTTGGATACAGTTCTTTATTTCCATTATGGTGCAATATAATTATATTCTCTGACTGTATTCTGTCATTCCTTTCACTGCTTAGTCACAGAATACAGAAATGGAACTAAACAGATCAAGAAAAGATACTAGAAAGATTTCAAACTAGAATATACTCACTTGTAAATTTCTTCTGCTTTTTCTTTCGCTTTGGATTGATCTCCATACTTCAAATCTTCACAAGCTTCCCAAAATCCCAGATTCTCCCCTGATATTAACAGAAAGGAAAAACAGCATCTTATTTATTAAATGTATACAGCCCCATCTCATTATTGAGAATGACTCTAGGCAGGGTTTTATAATATCAATTCTTGTAAGACAATTTTAAAAACAGAATAAAGTAAATCTAGAGTGACCATATTAAGACCATGAACAGAGTTCTAGAACATTAGCAGGTTTAATTTTTCTGACTCTGCTCTCCAAATAAAAATTAAAAATGTCCCATTATCCAAATGCTTACCCAAATAAACATGGGAATTATTTCCCCTGGTATATGGCTGTCATCTTACACCTTTTTTAAAATTTTATGAATGTCCCAAACCAAGGGGATTTGTAAAGGACAAAAATTAATGTTTTTGAGCCCCTTTAGATTCTGTTTTGCATAAGTATATAATGGCTTCTCATCTCACAGACAAAATCTATAGTAAATCACAGCTTTATTCTTATTATGGATAGCTGCAATGTAATCCCACATCACCTTACAAATAATTAAGGGATTAAATCACTTTCTGTACATAAAATTTCTCTCAGCTTGCTGTGGGGTGACAACAGGGACCTCAGACCAGCGGTTGGATTCAAACAATTTAACAACTGGTTCTCTGCCCTAATGATCAGCTGGGTAGGTGTGTCTCGGTGGTCATGTGACTGTGTGGGCATGGCCAATTCAACGTTACTCACGTTGATGGGCGCTTCACCTTAGCTGTTCCAATGTAATCAGGGTTAACTGGAGAGGCAGTTTCTGTAAGCAGGGCAATAAAGATTAGGCTAGAAACAACACCAGAATGTTTCCTTCCTGCCTTCCTTACAGGATTAGCCCCGTAAAGTGTGGGGGGAAAACAAAAGGAGATTTCTTCCAACAACCGGTTCTCCTGACTGCTTAGAAAGTTAACAACCGGTTCTCCTGGATAAGTGCGAACCGGCTGAATCTCACCACTGCTTCAGACTGTATAGAACACCTTGACAAGTGGAAAAGCAGGTGCATCTTCATACCTACCACTAAACTCCTTCTTCAGGAACAGCTGGAAATTCTGACGTCCTTTGGGGTCTTTCATCAGCTCCCTAAAGTTTAAGGCCCATTTCTCCACCCGTGCCTTGGTGGGGATTTCTACCCTGCCAAAAGAGAAAAGGTCTCCTTTAAATTAAGATTGAATTCATGCCCACAGATTTATTCATAAAGAAATAGTGCTGTTTCTCCCTGAAATCAATTATTTTGAGATTTGTCTGTTTTGTTTTGTGTTTGATAGAACTGAGAACTCTGCCTGTCCTTCCTTAGCAAACTTGTACACTGTTTCCCTAAAAATAAGACTTCCCTGGATAATAACCCCAATCGGGCTTTTGAGTACATGCGCTAAAATAATCCCTCTCCTGAAAATAAGCCCTCCCTGAAAATATTGCAACACAGCCACAGCCATGAGGTGACCACGCTCGCTGCCTCCTGCACCTCAAAAATAATAAGACCTCCCCGAAAATAAAGCCAAGCGCTTATTTCGGGGGTCAAAAGAAAATAAGACCCTGTCTTATTTTGGGGAAAACATGGTATTCATACGTGAGTATCTTGACTGCTTTCGATTGATTTTTCCTCTGACCTCTAATGTACTATGATGAGGACAAGCCAGGACATTATAGATAAGTATCCCTCAGGTCAGGCTTGACTCATAGTTAACTGCAGGGACATGGAAATATTATTTTCTTATCTAGTATCTTTAGTATCTAGACCAATCGTTCCCAACCTTTTTTTGGCCATGTCCCACCTAAGCATCTCTAAAATCCTGATCCCCTCTCCCCGTGACATATAATTCTTACTTTAGTCAAACACTGAACTCTACTCATATGAAGGAAGTCTAAAAGGCCATTAACTTGGTTTAAACAATGTTCAAATTGCCCCCATTAAAAATCAAATTGCGCCCCCTGTCGGTTGTGGGCCCCATGTTGGGAACCACTGATCTAGACCCATCTTTGCTTAACTTTTTCAAGGTAGCCAAAGTAAGCTAGGTATTGCCATATGGTATAGCCAGTGATTATGCATTGTAATATTTATTAGGATCATTATAAAAACATATTTCCCTTTAATTCACAGATTTTTTTTCCACTTTGCATGTTATATTTTATTTTTCTACTATAGATAAAGCATAGATCCAAATTACATTTTTGAGAATGCACAGTGCAGGCAGACAAAGTAAATTTTGTGGTGACATTTGCAATATGCATTGTTAAGATCTTCCCGCTTGAATGGGCCCTCATCTGCGCATGCGCACCACCTTCTGCGCATGCGCAGTGCTCACGCATTATGTCAGGGTGGGTGGGCAAAACCTCCCGCAGCCGCCGCTACCAGTTTGCCCAAACCGGAGAGAACCGACTGAATACACCTCTGGTACATACAGACATTCATAAACTGAAAGTTGCTCTGATACTAAAACTGGACTGGAAGACATCCAAGGTTCTTCCAACTCTATTATACTGTTCTGTTATTCCCTTTATGATTGCATGTAACCATCCCATCAAGCCCAAACAAAGTCTGGAATGGTATAGGGTCTCCTGCCATGGGCAGGGGGTTGAATGAGAAGACCTCAAAGATCCCTTCCAAGCCTCTTATTTTACGTTCTAAAAGAAAAGGAAAAAAGCAAAAGCTAATAAGAGTTGATGTAACTTAGGAGCTGAAATAAACACAATACATACAGTTTTGCATTGAGTTCCCAAAAATCCACATCATCAGAAACCCAAGGATTGCTGGGCAGACATCCTGAGATTATAGGGTCATTGGAGCAGAACTGTTCACAGTACTTCACTATTCTGAAAGTATAGAGACAAAAAAAGGGAAACTCTAGATGCAGTTTTTAGCCCAGAATCAATAAATGAATTTACATTATTCACATTTCCAATGCCATCCAAGCCAGGAGAACATTTCATTGCTGGCATGATGCAAACAGTAACACTTGCAGTTTTCTGTCTAGTGTATTATTGATGTGCCAGTGATTATCATTCCTGTGTTGTTTACGGGGTTAAGAGATATGAAGCTCTCAAAGAAAATGGCCTTTAAAAGTCTAATTATACTACACTTGAGTCTCTGCAGGTAGCAGCCCTTGACCAACCTTATCTGGACTCAGAGGTTAGACATGTTTGCGCCTGATTACTATGATGGGAGACATTTCAAAATACTACATGGCACGTCCTTAGATTATTCCACTTTGGAATGTTACAATGGAGCAGATGCTTGAATGGATGCCCAAACACCAAAGCACCAGCCATAGAAAGCTTGCATGATAGACAGAAAGGATCTACCTTAATTCTATCCCAGATACAGCACTTCTCTATGTAAAAGATTTCTGTTTTGGCATGGGAAGTAATTCAGACATGGGATCCTTCACTTGCTGTTTGAAGACTGATAATACCAAATAAGTTTTCTAAGCAAGTTCATTGAAGATTGAGCTGTTGAGCATTGGGTTTCTATTGTCAGATATTCAAGCCCACCTTACATTTTTAAGACAGTCTAAACCTGGCTGGAATTCTGACCTTGATTTGCTGTAGTTCAGGAATGAAGCTGGGATTTTCTAGAAACATCTCCCAAAGTACCTTCCAGCAATACTTGCTTATAGAAGGACCTTAGCTTTGGTTTTTCTGCAAGTCTAAGGTAATTTTCTGCTTATAGATGTTTCAGATGAAGGTGATTATATCCACAGCAATGCATATAAACTGCTTATGCACTTAACTCCTGGGTCTGCAAGGTTACATCATAAGGAAGAAATAAATTAGTTTAGAACATAATGTACAATAAATTCATATAAGCTCCTATAATTAAATCTCTCTCAGCTCACCACAATTCAGAAACAGGATGAAATATGCTGAAGTGATAAAAAAGATAAATAGTACAAAAATTCTGGTATTTTCAGTTATCAGTCCCATAACAATTAATAAGATTTACAGATCTTAAAAATGATGGAATTAAATACAAGTGGAGCTTCCCTGGCCAGCATCTGATGTATGAAAAGGATAATAGTTGTGGTTAAAAAACAAACATGACTCAAATTTTAGATTATAGCAGACATGAGAAATTGATCACTTAGGAGAATTCATATACAGATATAACAAACAAACATATATAAGCTTGATCCATTTAAAACAGGAAATTCATGGACATATTTGGAAAATGTCCTAATTGCTCTAAAATGGATTATTATTCCAGAGTACTACTATAGTACTATATATACTATACTAGTATAGTACTGTAGTACTTCTATTCAATAACTATTTTTTCAACAGATTGGTAGATTGGAAATAATGCTAGTTATGAGTCAGAAGAACAAGCAAATAGTGGAAATCTTAGTAGTGAGCATGGTATATTTTTCAGTGATAGGTTGAACTAAGATTTCCTCCCTCTCAAAAAAAGGCTCTTGTATGTTCATTAAACAATTCTGCCCTGGAAAATGTAGAAAATTTCAACACCATGTCAATCTTTTAAAGTAGCTTTCTGATGCACCCTCTACAAACTGGCAACTATGAAACTGGCAACTATGAAACCCTCTACAAACTGGCAACTATGAAACTAGAAATCTAGTTGTAGAAAGCATGACTGTCCTGCTTGTTTAAAAAACCTCAAAAAGGATCTTACAAGATTACAACTGTAAATGTATGAACGCTGGGAAATGTGGAAAGGAAACCTGTGAAGGGAAGGAGGGATGCATATATTTGTGTTAAAGCCACTTAGGAGCTTGTTTGAATCGAGGTGTTCAAAACATGACTCTCAATTACATTACTGCAATATATTTCACTTGGGGCTACTCTCAGTAGTGATTCAGAAAGTGTTGTTGGTCCTGACAGTTGACAAAGGAGAGAGTCCCTAAGATGCTTTTTCAAAAGGCAACTTATTTATTTGTGGTTTTTTCTTGTAGATGTTTCGCTTCTCATCCAAGAAGCATCCTCAGTTCTAACTGAATGCTGGGGAAAGAAAGGATTTATATTCCTTATAGTCATCTGGTTGTTAGCACTTTGAAAATGAGTCATTAGCCCTCTGAGAGTCGTGGAGAGAGATTTAGCAATTGACAGCTATCTTGAAGTTGCTACATTGGTTGACCATAAACCTCCAGGTCCAATTCAATCCCAATTTTACCTGTGCACCTTCTTTCTGAGAGGGCCTGAAAGGTCCTTCTTCAAGGCCTCCAACTGAGTGAGGTTAAAGAGTTGGGGCCCAAAGATGTGCTTTCTTGATTGAGACCCCCTTGCTATGGATCATCTTGCCTCCTGAAGTAAGGACAGCCCACCCATCTTCAGGTTATGTTTCACAAAGTAGCAAAACCCTTCATATTCATATGGGAAAAACAGTAGACCTGAATGTTTTTACCCATGTATTCAGGGATTCAGCCAGTTCACACGAACCAGATGTTAATTTTGCATCCAGTTCGCCGAACCAATTGTTGCAAGGACTGATTGCCCCACCCACTCCACCCCTCCCAGGAGTCTCTGTGCAGTCCGTTCATCCCGTGCAGACGCTCTGGTGGAGCGAAAAACAGGCCTCCCAGAAGTCGGAAACAAGCCCGTTTCGGGCCTCCGGATCCGTTTTTGCCCTTCTGGAGGCTCAGGGAAAACCTCTGGAGTCTGGGGAGGGTGAAAAAATGGCCTACCCAAGTACCAGAAGTCCGAAAACGGGCCTATTTCCTCCTTCCGGAGCCTGGGGAGGGTGAAAACACTTTCCTACCATGGTGCAGGAGGCCGAGTAGGCCGTGCCCACTATGGCCACACCCACCCAGCAACCGGCCAGAGAACCTGTTGCTAACATTTTTCAATCTCATCTCTGGGTGTATTGGTTTCTAATACTGATTGTAGCATACAATCCATCCTATATCGTGAGAAGTTACAGTCATAGAAAAATGTTGAGATGGGCAGATGATGAGACAGGATATGTATGTATGTGAGGGAAAGTATGTCTGTAAATAAGGGACAAAGAGAGGGGGAGAGGAGGAGGAAAAGAGTATCTGAAAATGAAATATGGAAACTTATACTGTTCTCACTGAATTATGTCCACTAATGCTACAGTAGTGTGGGTTTCTGTTAAATATTCATTAGTGGATTTGTGTATGCATTACGTTCTAGCCTGGCCACAGTTACTCACTGATTGGCCGAGGTACTGAAGTCAGCGGTCACGCCCAGTCCTCGGCCAGTGATTGGTTGTTATAATTGTAAATACCTTGGCGCGCGTTCCCGGCCAGCTTCGCTGTTGCCTTCTTTTTAATGTTGAATAAACCTGGACTGTTTTGTTAACCCTGGCTTCCGCGTTCCTCTTCTGCCGAACTACAAAACTGGCGACGAAGGTGGGATTTTTTTTTTTTTCCTGAAGGAACTCTGGTCTCTTTCTCCACTCCGAAGAGTCCTTCCCGCATCTAAGCCACGATGACTTCTGCCTTGCCTCCGTTTGCTCCCTACGGCTCGGGAGGAGAATCCTGGGAGGGATTCATGGAGCATTTTGAGTGTTATCTCATTGCGTCTAAGAACCAGGTACAAACCGACGAGGAAAAAGGCAGTTTCTTTCTCTCTTGTTGCGAACCCTCCATGTTCGCCTCCTTGCGGACTACGGCCGCCCAATGTGACTTTACCAACTTAGAAGAAAACTTGGTGGAGCAGTTTGTCTGTGGTGTGCGGGATGTAAACTTGCAAAGCCGTATGTTCCGCCATCAAGACATTACCTTACTCCAGGCCATGGAGACTGCCAGAGCAGCGGAGCTCTCGGAGCAGTCCACGGCCGATATCGAGCGGCTACAATTGGCTTCGCCTACCCACAA